AAACGTTTTTGAACAGTTAAGAATAAATTTTTCAATTGCAGTTTTTACCAGTAGTATTTTATGCTGGCTTGAGGTGTCAGGAATAAATTTGTTGTTTCAGTGAAAAGAGAGATGATGTTTTTATCACAACTTTCAATTGATATGTAACAAATTGCATCATTGCTTAACGCCAAGCTTCTACTCTTTCTCATACAGTTGCTTTTAAAGAAGGCAAACCTAGTGACCTTGAACTAAATGATCTGGCGGGAAAGATTTGTACAAAGTGGCAGAAGCTGGGACTTCGCCTGAACATTAGTCAGAATGTACTGGACGAAATAAAGACTAATGAAGAAGATAGACCATATGAGATGTTACTTCACTGGAGAAACACAACAGCTTCGGCTACACTTTATCGTGACCTCTACTATGCTTTGTGTCATCAGGGAGTTGGTCTCAATAACGTGGCCAGAGAATTTTGTGGTAAGGAAACTGCATGACGCACTTTGTTACAGTGTGACTACTTGAACCAGTTGGGGAAATGTAAAAAAATAGCCGGGGATAGGGTCTCCTCACAATCTACAAGACAGTATTTTTAATCTTGATACATTTGCCACAGTACTGTCAACTGACAATAGTTTTCGCTTACATATAATGCGAAGCCATGCTTTTTTTAAATGCTTTGAAATCGAGTTCATAGCTACGGATTGAGTTAAGGAGGGACCCTAAAGGTGACTTTGTTGAAGGGGTTACGGGAGCATTCCCCTAGGTTTCTGGGAAAATATAGGCAAGTTCAAACAGCATTGTTATATCTCCCAACTCAGATAGGTTTTCTGATTGGAGGAGAACGTGTCACGTGTCATGGGTCAAAACTTACTAACTCCCTAGGGCGAACAAAACTCATTAACTCCCTAGGGAAACAACAACTTGAACTTTCGACTCGCACGTGATCAGGTCATGCAACAAAGGGGAAAATATGAACTTTTTGGGTCTTAAAGCTTTTAATTTGGCGCCAAAAAATAGGTCGCCCGCGTTCGGCAACTCGCTCTTCGATCACTGTCGCCACTCGCCAGGTAGGAAAATAGTTGTGTCATTTACAACAAAATATGCTGTTTCTCGTCAAATCAAACCCAGAATTCTCGAGTTACGCATTAAAAGAAGGCAAAGCAACTTAAGTATTGTCTTTATTTTTGTTAGCTTCGAAGAAAAAGACTGTTATCGTGTCGTTTCGGTAGAACAGTTCTGTTTGACTGCCACTCGTACTGCAAGCACAGCCACCGTAGGCGTCAAGAATCACTTTTTCGCGGTTTTTCTATTTTTGAGTCGGAAGGTATAACAAAACACTTAATGACTGGCCCCTCGGGAAACAGTGAGTTTTGTTTCCCCTCGGCCTCAGTGTTTGATGGTCTCGGGGAAAAAAAACTCACTGTTTCCCGAGGGGCCAGTCATTAAGTACTTATTCTTACGCACTGTAGAAGTTTTAGAGGCAAAATTTAATGTCAGCACCAGCCTCGTTGTATGTCGCATACACAATGCAAAGCATGGCGGGAACCTTGCTCACCTACAGCTTGTATGAAGTACAATCAGTGGATTTAATCTTTACCTTGTGGTCAAATGTAAACCACTCGGCAAGTGCTTGGAAAAATTATTTGTGAGAAAAAAAAGTGACCGAAATAGACGTAAGGAAAGCTTTACCCTCACTTTGAACCCAAAAATAGCAGTTTCTATTGAGTTAAACAAACGATTTGAAGACAAAATTCTTTAATTTGTTAGTGCACATGCGCGAAATTTCAAGTAGGTTCTGCTAGGATTATTTGTACTTGCAATGCATTATGGGACGATCGTTGACATACGTTTACGACAAGTTGAGAAAACACAAAAGCTGCGAAGATTTTACACTGTGAAATCAATCTTTGAGTCAAAAAGATGTCCTAGTGGAAAACACATTAAGGACAGGATGTATGATTATAGACTCTGTAAATTCCAATATTTGTTGATGTAGCATTAGTATATACATGAAAGATGTTACATTGTTTTCCCATGTGTTTCTGTTCAGTTTCAGCTAAATGCATTAATCAATTGTTTTCTAACATTGCCAGTAAAAGTAAATGAACGACCACGACTACTCGCGCGAGAAAAAAAAAATTCTTGTCAAATTACTGTGAATTTTTCAACAAGCGTACGTGTATTGAGTGTGATGACGCGGCTTGCACGCTATGTGATTATTTTATTAAAGCGCTAATTCGTTATCATTACAGTTACTGATTCAGAAGCATCTGCGGAGGACATTCTTGATGTGAAATCCTGTCGAACTAAACTGGCAGAGCATTACAAGAGAACCGCCACAGTGCCCACCTCTGCCTGGTCTAAAAAATCCCCCGTGGACTTTCACCAGATCTACACTCGACTGTCCTGGGTGAATGAGGAACAAACCCCTGCTGGGTCATCACGGTCTGAACTGGAACGTTACACGGATCTGTTCGCTGCCAACAAGAATGGTGTTGTACCAAAGAGAATACTCGTGCAAGGGCAGACGGGTATTGGGAAGAGCACTTTCGTCAAGAAACTGGCTGTGGACTGGGCTGAACTTGATGACGCGACAACTGGAGACAAACAGAAAGATATCCTGAAGACTTTCGAGCTTTTAGTTGTCGTTAATCTTAAAGAAGTGTCAAAATGCCAAAGTCTCAAGGATGTTATAAGTCGCTCATTTATTTTCGCTCGGGAGGAGAAATATCTTACAGATAGCCTGCTGAATTACATCACCAACAATCAAGACAAGGTTTTGCTGGTGTTTGATGGATATGACGAATATCGCTGCGGAAGCAACTCTGAAATCTACGAGATATTCAGAGGAAACGAACTGAGGAACTGTTGTGTCCTGATAACAACTCGAATTTCCAAAGCTGACGAGCTACGAGCGTTTAAAGACATGCATGCTGAGATCACCGGGTTTAGTGAAGAGGACAGAGAGGCCTTTGTGTGCAGAATGCTTGGTGGCAAAGCAGAAACATTAAAGCTGTTCCGTCATCTTTCGGTGAAACGTCTGAAGGACCTAGCGAGAGTTCCGTTGCTACTTCTTTTCTTTTGCACCTTATGGAAAAAGGGCAAGTCGAAGAGCTTTCCTGAAAACAAAACAAAATTGTATTTGGCGATTGTCCAGTACGTTTTGGATCACAATCAAGGGAAACATTCTCCTGCTCGCTTTGGCAAAGTTCACGATTTCAAAGAGGTCCTCGCAGAAATCGGAAAGGTGGCCTTAGAATGTCTTTTGAAGGACGATCATGTGTTCGAGTATGATCAATTGTCTGATGCCGTTCTTTGTGACGAAAGTCTCATTACTGGCTTGCTTCAAGTTACCGAGTACGCAGAAAATCTTCGACCAGCAGGGAGGGTATCCTTCATCCACAAGAGCATTCAAGAATTTTTGGCAGCGTGGTTCATCTCTTCCAGATGTGTCCCTGAAGGAAATCTCGGTGGAATTGAACAGCACACACGTACCTTGGAGAATTGTAAAGCCTGGGAAAATGTTTTCCAGTTCGTTTGCGGTTTGTCTGACGATGGAGCAGGGAACGTTTTTCAGCACTTAGCATCAGTCAGGATCTCTGATCCAACACTGGATTTATCAAAGACAATACCAGATGTAGGAAGCGAGACAGAC